TTCAAAATCATTATAATTTCCCCTTTGAACATAAGGGACATCTATGTAAAGCATTAAAAAAGATCCTTATGTTAATTATTGTATGGCTGGAGTTGAACATAAACTGAGTAAGCTTTATGGCATAGTATAGTGAATTTACTTACTCTCTGCAGTTGTTCAGAGTGGTTTCTAAGGTGGAATCTCAACTTTGCTCTTAAGTAGAATAAATGCAACCCAGTTTTTCATGACTGCTTGGCTTACAGTTGCCTGTTTCTTAGCACCACTGCCATGCAAACTGCAATTGAATATTTACATTTTAAATTTAAACGTCTTTAGATGAAAGGCCAAGACATACCAGAATGCTGAATTCAGTAAATAAAAATGTTGGCTCTTTACATGAGTCTCAGAGATCCCAAAGAAACCATACAGTATCATTATTTGATGTCTCATGGACCTCAGTGCAACCATACCCAAATATTTAAAGTCATTTGTGTAGGCTTAGTTATTGTTGCAGCAAATCCAAAGTAAGAGTGGCTGATAGAAGCAGTATTGGTTACCATGGGTTACCAGAACTTTTTGAACTATAGTGATACCCTAACCACAACCCAAGCATTTGTAGAGAAGTATTAATGTGGGTTTACGAGATGTTCATGAAGGGAAGGACAGGGTTCCTTTTACTTGGTTCATGAACATCAATAAAAAGACTAACTAGTCAAAAGTTGCTTGCATCAAACTTATCAAAAATGCTTGTATACAGCTTACATAGAAAACAATGCTAATATTCCAGAAGTTTCCAACTTTCTTTATCTCTTGAAAATAAAGACAGTTTTGTAGGTTGTACCTAGATAAACATCTTGTAACAGGCTCAAAGATGAAGCATGGAAAGTCCACAGATTTCCGATGAACTACGGGTCTTCAGAATGTAAGATAATGAGGTAAGATCTCCACAATTATACGATTCTTAGAAAGTCTTGTCTGCAGCTTACCCAACAAATCGTGCTCCTAAAATATAATTAATCTGCCATGACTAATTTCTACCAGTTGTGTCCAGGTTCAGTCAGGTAAATTGAGACTCTTGGTCACAAAGTGACCGAGGAGTTCCTAAGCTGTAGGCGTTTTTCCCTTGCTCTTCACTAAATGCAGTTTCGAAAGCTGAAAGGATAGACCTTCTCAAGGATTCTTTAAAGTCCCTGCCCAGGAACACATAGAGAAATGGGTTTAAGCAACTGTTAAAGAAAGCCAGACTGGTAGCCAGTGGACTTCCAATGAGAACAGCTGTTTTTAATCCTTTATTGTCCCAGTGGTGCATAACAACTTCCAGTACAGAAAGAATGTGATACGGGAACCAACAGATGAAGAAAGCCGCCACAACAAACGCCATAACCTTAAATGGCCGGCTGGACCATGAAAGATGGCTTCTTCTCAACTTCAAAGCCATCAAAGAATAGAAAACTACAATAAGTCCGAAGGGGAGCAAGAACCCAAAAAGAAACCGTACAGATATCATTACTTGGTGTCTCATGGACCTCAACGCTACCACCTCCAAGTCATCGAAGTCATTTGAGAAGGCGTAGTTGTTGTAGCAGTGTGTGACATTGTTGTCATCGTCTCGTACAGTATCCCGAAAAGCCAAGTAGGGCGAACAGAGGATAAAAGCTGCCAACCATACAGAAAGGGCAATGGCAGAAGCCAGCCTTGGAGTCCTATGGTTTTGGGCCCACACAGGTCTGACTACAGAGACACAGCGGTCAGCACTGATAACGGTAAGCAGGAAGACACTCGCAAACAAATTTAAGAAAGCAATGGTGCTGTTCAGCTTGCACAGTAGAGTTCCAAATGGCCAGTTGAAACCCAGAGCAGTGTAGGTGATGCTCAGTGGTAAAAAGAACGTAAAAATGAAATCAGCGATGGCAAGGTTCAAAAACCAAACTGTATTGACTGTTCTTTTCATCTTAAAACCAGCAATCCATATCACCAAACCATTTCCAGTGGTTCCCAGAAGAAAAGCTATGCTGTATATGATGATGGACAGATAACGGAGTGTTTTCTCAAGTTCTAAAGGTATATCCTCTGCTGTCAAATCTTCTTCCTCTTCAGCCTGTAAGGCCAGGGGGTCTGGGGAGAATGATTCTAAAGTTGAGGTTTCCATGTTAGCCAGTTCTGAAAGACAAACATGTAATGTCAATTATTTGTTCAGAAAGGAGAGAATATAGATCTCTACATAACTTAGAATACGGATCACACTGAAAATTCAGGAAAATTAATAACTGAGCTAAATTTGAAGCATTTACTTAAGCGGGAAACTACTTTTTTTGTAAGAGGACCTAACTTCAGATATATATTTTTTATGTTAAAGTGTATGTTTTGTTTTGGAAGAGTGGGAAGGAATAGAACCCCTGCTGGCTTTTTATTGCTTGAGGGTAGGGATGCAATGAAACACAATTTTTAGACCAAAACCAAATCTGAAATGTCAAAATTTGTCAGGCTGAAACAGAAACCTAAAATATTTTTTTCCCTACCTTTTTAAAATGTGTTAAATTATTTTATCTTTTTTTATTTTATTTTTTTAAATGTATTTTTTACTTTATTGTCTGGAGCTTTAGGGAAATATCAGGGAGTCTAAACAGACCCATGATATTTCCATTTTAAAATGGAAAAAGAGATTGAGGATACAGAGTCCTCAATCTCTTTTTCTGCAGCCTCAGCATTTAATGAACAGGAAGCTCTCAGTACCAAGGCTTCTTGTTCATTCACAATCTGGAGATAGTAAATATATATTATCAACCCAGTCATGAATGAACAGGAAGCCTCTCTACTGAGCTGTTTCCTGTTCATCCATAAAGTGGAATTTGTTTGCGACTGTCTTCCTGCTTACCGTTATCAGTGCTGACTGCTGTGTCTCTGTAGTCAGACCTGTGTGGGCCCCAAACCATAGGACTCCAAGGCTGGCTTCCATATTTACTATGTCCAGAATCATGAATGAACAGGTAGTGATGTAGAGCACTTCCTGATCATTCATAACTGGGGACATAGTAATCACTGACCTCAGTTATTTACAAACAGTGGACATCCTGACAGTTCTCCTCCACCTGCATTGCCCCGTTCGGCCTCCTCACAGCTTAATCATCCCCATTGGGTGCTGGCAGCTGGATCGACTCTGTGTCTCCTCCAATCCCCGCTGCCTCTGCCGACACAAGCGTGTGAGAGCAGTGGTGATCGGAAGGGACCCAGTCCGAAGCTTGAAGCTGGTGCCCAGCGGGGAGGGGAGAAGCTAGGAATGCACTGTGATTTCGGCTGTTTTTTTGGTACTATCTGTGTTTTGTACCATTTTCGGCAGAAATGTTTCCGTGGCCAAAATTTCGGTGCATCCCTACTTGGGGGAATGGATAATTATCACTGGAACCCTAGGATTATCTGATTGGTATTACTATCTTATAGTGTTGCAGGGGTGTTTGGGCAGGGTATCTGGATTCTGGGCTAGCAGCTTCTACACACCAAAGGATTTCCAACATTCCTTGGTTTATATATGACTCAATGGGGGTGATTTACTAACCAGGTGCGTGTGATTTTCACACAGCAAAACGTATTTATCAACCAAAAAGTTTCTAAAAGCATATTTCCACTAATGCCATATATGGAAAAATCATGCACATGATGCATATATAATGCTGCTTCACAGTTTAGACAAAAATGGTTAGCTCATGCATTTACATTCCTGCATTCATCAACGCAAGCAACACAACATAGAGCTAATTTACACAACATCACCTTGCAATTCATGCAGGGCTTTGCACAACACACCTGCTGGGTGTGTACACACTACAAAGGTGTCTAGATTCCACCCATAGATCATGCTGGGAGGGAACACACTACAGAGGTGTATACATGTTCGTGGTGTGTTTATAAGGTTAGTAAATCAAACCCAATGGATCTGAGACTAAAGCACTATGCCACAAGTCAATAGCCCAGACACAAATTTATTTCAATGTGAGATCTGATATTAGACTTTATACCTGTGCCAACACAATTTTGGGGCCCAGAAATCCCCCCCTCGCCAGGGCTTGAGGATGGCAAACAATGCATATGAACTGGACTGGATTAAGAATATGTGGTATTTTGACCAGTGGAGTGTTGAAACACAGTGCTCCTCAGCAACTGGTTGGAGCTGGACACAGACTCAGTCAAAACCGGAGAGAGGTTATCTTTCCAACCCGATTGAAAATTTACAAAATGTTAGATATAAATATATTTCATGATTCTTTAAGAGGTTGCATGTGTTTTATAAAAAAAGCATGTTCCTTCCTATTTTATTGTATGCTGCAATACAGATACCCCCTTGTGGATGTTTGGGAGGGATCCCACATTCATGACTGCAAAAAAATGTTTTTTACATTGTAAGCTCATTGGACTTTGATGGTGCCAAATCTGCAGGAATTTTCTCCATAGCTGAAAAATGAAATGCATATTTTCCCCTGATTGTTGGTATCTAGTGACAGGAAGGAGCATATTTTCTGTACCAGACAGTAAAGGAGAGAGTTATTTAATCCCAGTTACCCCCTCTTCATTCACATCTAACCACACATCATCAAGCACAACGCAAATGTATTTTACAGTTTTTGAAAAATATTAAACCTTTTGTTTTTAACTTGTTAAAATTTAAAGAGCAGATTCCATTTCCTCTTTTTCTGTCTCGGAAAATGAAATAAATGTTGTTCCTAGGCAAACTCCGAACGTGTGGTCAGTCTGACAGATTTTAGGTGGATTCCATTTAGTTTAACACCAACACTTTGGGACACCAGAATCACAATCAGAGTTCATCCTGAAATTCAGATGATTTAGGATTAGTAATAAATTTTATTCATTCCGAATTTCAATTTATTTTTGGCAGTGCAGATTACCAAAAGCCTTCTGGGAGAATGCTGCTCCAAAGGCTGTCGCTGCCTTATATATGCTTCTGTTAATGCCTGGGCACTTAGCTTGAATGTAATTGCCACCAGGTTAGGTGGCAATTCTCATCTTAGTCTCCCTGGTAGAATTTTTAAAGGAAGTAGCTCAGGCTATTTTTTCATCTATTATTGATTTAATCAGATAGGGCTGCCTGGAGATTCCTGAACCATTCTACTCAATTTTGCATCATCTGCTGCTCTGTAATACACATTTTTTTAGAGCCTGTTTCAGTTTCTATTAATTTTAATTGGACTTCTGGTTCAGAAATTCCACATTTAAGCTTTCATGAGTTTGCTCATCTCTTAATACAATCTGTCATACCCTGATGAAGGTGATTGGTTTTTGCTGCTTTCTCCATGAATATATAGTGTATATAGCCCACCAGTATTTTTTCTAGGGAAGCACCAATACCAGTATTTCGATATCGAGTACGAGTACCAATATTTTATTTTCCGATACCGGAAGTCCAATTAAGGAAGCCAGGCTGCGTGTAAAGACTCGCCACCCGGCTTCCTGATTAGCAGGGAAGCCGTCCCCATGCTTCTCGTCACTAGGTGACAAGAAAGCATGGAGCCAGCTTTCTGGCCAAACAGGAAGCCAGGCGCTGTGTAATGATGCGGCGCCCAGATTTCTGATTGGCTAGGAAGTCGGCTCCATGCTCCCTCGTCATGAGATGACCAGGGAGCATTAATCTGTCTTCCTGATTGGCCAGCTTCTCGACCAATCAGGAAGCTGTGCAGTGAGTCATTAGTCACAAGTGACAAGGGAGACGGCTTCCCGGCCAATCAGGAAGCCGGGCAGCTTGTAATGACTGCCCCCCTTCCTGATTCCAGACGTATCGGGTTAGGCATCGGAGCATTTGGGCGAGTATGAGTACTCGTCCAAATACTCGGCATCGGCACCGATATCGATACTAGTATCAGTGCATCCCTAATATTTACCAAATTACCAATGAACATGTAATTGTGCACAAAACGTATCACATCCGTACAATGTACAGAATGCACTTGTCCTTAGAGTAAACCCTAATACTAACATCTCATCGTATAAGCTTTAATATTGTAAACCAATTTGAAAAGTTTTCCAATCTGCAATCTGACCTGGTGATCCCGCCATGAAAGTCCTTGTTTAGGCAATTTTTTGTTATGCGGGTAACAATTGTCTCCCAGTTGTGCCCCAGTCACCCCATCACATGCACTCCTGGTAAAGATTATAGGTGGCTGTGCCATCACACGTTATGCAGGCTGTGTCCACCACTGTCACTATTAGAAGTTGTTCCTGAGCAATGATGTACAGCTAATGCTAGAACGAGCACATGTGGGCAGGAAGTGGGTGAAACAGTATAGAAGAGATAAGCAGCACTAATATGCTAAAATAAAGGTGTAACCAGTAGAAAAAAATGTGATTTGTAATGCACAGTCCTTTAGCATACTAAACATCATCCAGTTAGGGTTAGAGATCTACATTAGCTAGATAAAGAGCGTTGGAAATGATTTGTCCAGGGTATAATACAAATCCATTAAATCTTTACTGCACACAACAAGAAGTCACGAGAAAAATCCAAAATGTTAAAGGGGCTAATCCCCATTCATCAGGGGTAGAGGCAGCCCTTTGGGTGCAGACACACACTGGAAAACTTCACCCTTATGTGCACCAAAAGGGCTGCCTTTGGTTTTAGTTGGGCTTTAAATCTCTTGAGAATTACAAGACAAACTTTTCATCTTGAAGAATATGGCTTTTCATGCTAAACAAACCACTCAAGCAGAGCAGCCTATCTCCTTTTGTCATTCCCAAGAGCTTAGCAAGGCAACACACACTTTGCTGGTCATAATGCCATCTTGCCCACAACAACAACAAATCAGTATTGCTGCTCTGCGAGGGTGTTCTATAGCTTTGGCAGGGTTTATGGCAAGATATTTGGTGGATGGCATAAGGGCTGCAAGTAACAATAACAAATGAGTCTCAGGTTTTTAAGGGTAACATTTGAGGTTGGAAAAATGGAGATGCCTTTGTTTGGGAGTTGTCATTTATAAAAATTGCTTTATTGAAGGAGTGGGCAACCTTGGCATTCCAGCTATGGTGAATCTACAATTCCTATAACGCATGGCAAGATGGTGACAGCCACAGGCATGACTCCTGGAGGCAAGCATTATGAGGTTTGAAATTTTCACACAGCTGAAGTGCCAAGGGTGCCTACTCCTG